TTTTTATAAAAAGTAAATAGAAGAGTTTGATTTTTTTTTAACTGATGTACAAATTAATACAAGGGAAAAAAAAACACTAATGTGTGGTTTTTGAGAGACGTTTCAATCAAGGAAAATTAAATAATAACAGGCAGGAAGAAACCTAAATCACTCTCAAAAAATACCAAAAGTTACAGCAGGTGTGAGGATGCCTCTCAAAGGCAACCTGAGAGAAAGAACAGCGTGGGTAAGCTAGGGTGTCTGGAGCAGGAGTTAGCGTGGTGCATAAAGCCCTACAGGGGTTCTGATCAGAGAGGGAAGTGGCATCGCTCTCTCCTTTGAGGCTCTAGAGTAGGAGTTTGCTTCACTTGAAGAGGACAGAGGCCCAGATGTAAATGTGTGTGTTGTGCCCTCCAAAGTTCATCTCATTACATTTGGCAGCCACTTAAGAAGTGGGGCATAAATATTAACAATTACTACTTTGATCCTTCTGCATTTGCTAAACAGCAATGAAAGAATAACCCTAGCACAAGATAGGAAGGCAGAGAAAGTAGCACAATCCAGGAATGGGCGTTCTCCCCAGAGTTTTAAAAAGGATTTCTTTTCACTCCAGGACTTGAGGACAAATAATTCATCAAGACTGGAAGATGGGAATGCGAGAGTAAGAGTCAGCCTGTGTGCGGCGCCTCCCTGGTCAAGGCATCCGCTTCTCCACGTGCAGCATGAGCTAACGTTGGCCACTGTGCTCAGAGCTCATTTCTGGCTTTGCTCTTGCTTTTGTTTTTTCTTATTATTTCAAATTAACATGGAGAAATAGGTAATTTTGGTCTTTGCCTATTCAGGGTCAAACACTCTTGTAAAATGATAGGATTTTAGGAATCTAAAGGATGAATATGTCTATGAAGATAAATCAGTAATTCCCAGCTTAAATCTCAATGTAATTGACGTCAGAATTCTTTTTGAGTGGCTGTGTTCCAAATTGAGTGTCTAGCATTTTTGGAGATGGTTTGATTAGTATGACTTTCAAAGGACAGGCTCAGATTTGGTAAGAAACTCCAAAGGATATACTTCAAAAAATTTAAAGAGAAAAATTAAGGAATAATACAAAGAAAACTAGACAAAATTTGAAAAGAAAAATGATTCAAACTGATTTAAATCATATTTAAAATATGTAAAGCTGTTACAATATTCCTTTCATTTATACTAAGTATATATGTTCCTCTTATTCTTTGGGATTTCAGGAATTTTTGAGGTGGGAACCCTCCTCAATGTGCTCTACATCGTACACTGGCATTAGCCCTTCAAGGGAAGAGTTAAAGTCCTAGAATAAAACCACAGAGACACAGAACTGCCTCAACCTCAAGCCACCTGCACATATTTTTGTCCCAGAAGGTTGAACTGAGGAAGGGGACCCAGGCATCTGGGATCAACTTCCCCTTTGACTGCCACACTGCATTTCAATAGAAGAAAAGGCTGACGGGCTGGAGCCTCCTGATTCACCTTCCTGTAGGTGGCAGGCTTGGTCTGGGGGAAATGGAAAGGCATTGTCTTTACTTAATACCAGATCAAACCCGAAACCTTTTCACATGTGAGTCCTAAAACTGTAAACCGGAACCCTTTCATATGTGATCTCTAAAACTGTAAACCCTTTCATATGTGATCTCTAAACCTGTAGACACGAAACCCTTTCATATGTGATTTCTAAAGCTGTAAACCCAAAACCTTTCCACATGTGAGTCCTAAATCTGTAAATCTTCCTATGTAATTTCTAAGGCTGTAAACCTAAGATTCTTCCACGTGTAATATCTAAAAGTATGAGCCTATATAAAGGCAGAACGTTCCTTTGTTAGACGAGCTGGGTAATTTGGAACCATTGATCGGCTCCCAGCTGTAGTAATAGTAATAATAATGATAAACTCCTTCCTCCCCCATTCGGTGTTCCAGGGCTGTGTTTCCCGCGGCCTTTCCTACTACAGAAACATGTCTTATATAAAGAAGAAAAACAAAGGTAAAGGCTAAGTTTTATTTTCCCACCAACTTACACTCTACAAGGTACTGTAGCTGGAGGGCTTGAGAGAGACAGCAATATTGCATGTGGGCAGCAGACATCAAGGATTTGTGAACAGTGGTAGCTAGAGACGTCATGTTGCCCACAGCCATTGAGACATATTAACCAACAAGACACTGGACTCAAACCTACCAAAGAAGCCGCTCCACGCTGTCCCTGTGCATGCTCTGAGGAGGTATGAGGACTCACCATGGTGCACAGTGGTGACTGTGCCAGGAAAGTCCTCAAGGCAAGATCTGTCAGGAGTGAGGGGCATGGACAGCTGGGTTTGACTTCTAGCAGCACCTGTTAGAGTGTTTGATTGCGTTCTGACTGAAAAGGACACTTGTTACCCTTTAGTCAAGATTTTTAAAGAAGAGTGTTTTTGAATGTAAAACTAAAATACCATGTGTTCTGAGTCCAGTGGAATTCACAGGCACCTGTAGGAATCTTAACTACACTGGAAAATGACTTTTCAGTTACCTAACATACCATCTTCCTTCTGCTACCTTACGTAGAGACTGTAAAGATTTTAATTAGTAATTCTCATCATGAATCTTCTGGGCGTGTGCCAGTGAGGATTACTTAACTAAGCAAAAGGGTAAGATATGCATTTATGTATTTATATGCATACTTATATTAGTGGCCCAAATTGCTTCTGAAAACTATAAATAAATAATTCAACATTAAAATACTAATTCTGATTCCAGCCTAGAATGATTTAAAAAAATGTTTATACATGTGTTTAAATTCTCAGATCTAAGGAAAATAATGCTAACAAATAAACACTGTAGCTTATTTAATTCATATATGACAGGGAAAGAGATTTTTGTAATAACATTGCTATTTAGAAGAATCACATTTTAGTCTAAATAATCCAAATAAAAGATAGTTTAAAAATAGAAAAATGAAGTTCAGAGGTAAGTATTGAGAAGTAAAAAATAAAAAGCCATAAAAGGAATATTTTTAGGATGAATGGGTAATATTCTAAATAGAAGTATTGATGTTTGTATTCCTTGTCAGAGTGTGTATAAGAATTATGCAAAATGTTTTTTGTTAATTCCAATATAAGATATTAATCATAGTTCAAATACCACTTTTTGGTCAATATTTTGAATGGAAAATGCAAATTTATTTAATTCAGAAAATTATTCTATTTATTACATATATAATAGTTTGGTTTGGATTGGAAATGAAAATATAAAACTGAAAAGATGTATTTAGGAAAATTTTTGATTCTTTAAAAACTCTCTAGGTAAAAATGTGGTATTTTAGTAAAAACAAATAGCATTGTGTAATTGAGTTTAAATTGTAAATACAAAAAACAACAAAAAAGGAAAAGAACACTTCTAGGTGACACAAAATTAAAGTAAGCCCTACTACCAGATATAGAATTAGTGCCTGGTTCGGTAAAAATAATTATTTCAGATAAAATCAGCTCTCATTATTAGATTTTATTTAGGGATTTTCTAGTATCTTTAGTTATACCTTTAAATTCTTTACAGCAATCTCAATAAACAGCCTGGCTAAAAAAAGAAAAAAAAAAAGTAAACCAAAAGATCTCATTTATTGAGAGATGAAATTCTCATGGCATACTTTCCACATCCTATAATTTGTTCTGCATGCCTCCCCGGTCTTAGTTGGTGATAAAATAAAGTTTAATGTTGATAAACTGAATGTACAAAATATATTTTAAAGCTAATGCTCTGTATAGCAATATTCTTATCATTGACAATACAACACTGTTGGATACTGATCTCTACTCTGAGTCATTTTCACAAAGTCAACTAGAGCTGACGTTCACAGCATTTAGAGTTCTGCTTTCCATACCTATATGACATGAGCTGTGTTGAAATTTCAAGAAATGTGTACCTGAAATACATAAATGATTTTCACCCTAAGTCAAATGAATAACCCAATAATTATAAAATTAAACTTTATTAAACTATGAAGAGATGTAGATTTGATAACGTCATTGCAGTCATGAGATTAACTGTTCAATATTTATACACCCTTCCATCCTTTAAAAATTTCTCCTTCATTTCAATGATAATAAATTGCAAATATGGTACATCTCTAATAGTCAATAATAGAAAAAATAAAAGCCTTTAATATTTGATAATAAATTAAAATGAATACATATGTTCACTTTTAAAATGAAGCCTATGCAGACCTTAAATCTGTCCTATATGGTTAGCACTATAAAATTGAATTCACTCATTTCCTTTTAAAAAACGAAAACTAAGATGAACAAAATACAATGCCTCACTTACTACTGGGCTTTATTAGTGTGAAAAATTGTTATTGCTCCTTTTATTAAAGATCATCATTTCCTACTCCAGTTGGTTAAAGAAAGATATGCGGCCGGGCGCAGTGGCTCACGCCTTTAATCCCAGCACTTTGGGAAGCCGAGGCTGGCGGATCATGAGGTCAAGAGATCGAGACCATCCAGGCCAACATGGTGAAACCCCATCTCTACTAAAAAATACAAAACATTAGCTGGGCATGGTGGTGCGTGCCTGTAGTCCCAGCTACTCGGGAGGCTGAGGCAGGAGAATTGCTTGAACCCGGGAGGCGGAGGTTGCAGTGAGCGGAGATCATGCCACTGCACTCCAGCCTGGTGCCTGGCGACAGAGTGATACTCTGTCTGAAAAAGAAAAAAGAAAAAGAGAAAGAAAGATATGCACATGACATCATATTTAACATTTCAGAAGAAACCCGATAAAGAAACTTAATGACTTACATTCAATGGTAAGGTAAACTTCCCATATCCTTTGCTAAATTTTCTAAATCAAATGCTAAGAGTTTGCAGGAATTTGGTGAGGACCTACCTAATTTACATCCCAGTCCAAATATTAAGGAGTTTGCTATAGCCATTCTTATCTAATTATTATTCGGCAAACATTGAAAAATGCACCAAAGTTCAGCCCTTATTGCACGGCCTTTGTAAGGATAGACTAGAAAGGCAGGCTACCTTTATGCTTAATCCAAATCCTCCTACTGTTTGTCTTCTGATGGTCACCGTTCTTTCCTGAAAGACAGGATTTTTAAGAATGGTTAGTGTTTCCTAATACTATAATTACACACCGTTTTTTTTTTTTTTTTTTTTTTTTTTTTTTTTTTTTGGTTTTCTTCTGGGTTTTGCTTTTGTTCTTCAAAAAAAAAAGAAAACTCTTCTGTGGTGGCATAGAGTCTCTATATCTTGTAACAAATAGTCCTTGACTTTTAAATCAAAGGACTATTTGTTAAAAGGGATTAAAGTGTTATTAAACTCCTCAACTCTTAAAAATAAGTTCTTCTCAATGATTATTTTGGATATATTTTGGAATCTTAACTTTTATACCTCTTCTTATTTCCACATCTTGTTTTCTAAGAAATGACAAGTTTTAAGTTACATGAAAGTAACTCAAAGACAATGGTAAATATGATCTTGGTAAACCAAGGTCCTATCTCCATCACTGCCTGGAATTTGGGAGCTAATATGGGAGGCTGCCGGTGGCTAGCACAGAAATGATTGATTTGTGTGTATGTCTTAGATTGAAAGTGAATAAACCAGGTTCAAAATAAATTCATTGCTCGTTCATAAAATGAATAAATTACACATTTAAGTAATAATGATAATTGAATTACCAATTTTAAAAGTGAGTTTCTTTTTCTCTCCACAATAGAAGTAAATCAGTCACTGGCCTATAAAACTTAAAAATCACAGAGATGATGGCATGAGAACAAAGAGCCACATTTGGACAAATTCTGTAATTTTCAATTTGAAAAGTCCATACTGCTCTGTTTTTGGGCAGTCGTCGACATAGTGCTTACTGTAGAGGCATGCTGAGAGCTGAAGGCTTTAATTTATAGTCTGCTCCATTATTTCAATCTTCTTGAACCTTCCCCTATGCAGAGCCATTTGAGACACTGACCCTTTCCCCCTGCATCTGGGGTAGTTATTTGTTATCTCTTCCTTATATCTCTACAAATGCCTTTTGCCCTCATTATCCATTTCTAAATGTAAACACTGCCCTCTTTCTTACAGATGAATTGCTTCGCTTATTCCCTTGTTCTATAGAAACTGTGTGGAACAGATAATATCATTTAAAAATAACTAGGAGGAAATGAAAAATGTGTGCTTCAGGTGGCTCTTGCTAAATGTTTTAAGAGAGCATGTAACTCTTCATTTTGGCAAGGTTAAAAACTTCCTTTTTTAGTCAAAAGTTATAAATAAGACTAAATAATACATAAGGAACAAGATTGCCAAACCAGAATGTGATATATACTATTACTGACTTATTTTGAATTTTAAAAATAAGACTTTTTGATGAAGATTGGTGCATATGGACTGAGAAATTATTATTATTATTGAATGCAAATGAGTCGCATTCAGTAACACAAGTTTTCTTTATTTTGACAATGGGCTGAGTAATTTCGTCTGTTTCAAAAATACTTACGTTACTCTTAAAATCTGACATCTAATCATACTTTCAAACCAACATTAAAATTATAATTGTACAAATAAGTTTATATATAACAATTTATGCAAAGCAACTTGAAATATAAGACAAACTGTTTGTATCAAATAATACCACAAAGTATGTTTTTATTTTTCAGCCTACTGCTGCATAATCCCACAAATGGCAAGCACAAATATGGGAAGATATATTTTACGATTTATATCACAACACCTACATATAAAATGGCTGCATACACAAAAGCGAAAAGGAAGGTGAAACAGGTGCACTATAGGTACATAAAATCCACTAACAGTTTAAAATAAACTAAGTATGTATTAGAAATACACTTTTATTGAACAGGACAAGTGCAATCTGTCTGATTAATATGTATTATTTCTCATTAAATGACTCATTAGAGAAGTTGAGTATTGCAAACAATGTTGGAACTGAAGTTAGAGAATGTGCTGATAACTCAAATAGCCACAAATTCATATAGCTTCATATATTCAGCAAATTACTTAAGACTTGTGAGTCTGTTTTCAAATTTGCAAAATGCTGATAAATAACACAAGCAATTAAAAGCTTTGTTTTGAGAATTAACATTTGTAAAGAACCCTGGCATGTAATAGAAATTTGATACACACACACACACACACACACACACACACACACACACACACACTCTGATGTTCTATACAGGGATTCTTATATATAATAGTCATTTTAATATATTTGTACCATAGAATAATTCAAATACTGGAAGACTCAGATCAGAGATAGGTGAATTAAATAGTGACTATTTTTCCTATAAAATAGATAGGTAAACTGCTTTTACAAAACGGACCACCCAACTAAATTAAATTCCCAGATGGCAGAAACGATTTCCCTTTTTTCCTTTTCTGTAAAAAATAAATATGCGATTCCTTAAAACAGTATCAAAATCAGTGGTGCAATCATCTAGACAATCCGTGTCAGTTGTCTTAAAATACAAATTTCAGTCAGAGCAAATGCATTTTAATTAGCAAATGACATCCCCTAAATGTTGTAGAGCATTTGGCATAGCGATCATTGGCCATGAGGAAAACTTGGTCAGTAATTGCTGCTCAGTAGAGAAATGTGTACTGAAATGCTGCTGTCCCTTGATAGAAACAACAGCATCCCAGGGTCCTCAAAGATTGTTTCTTTGAATTTCTTTACTCATTCTACGCAAGTCTGCCTTCTAATCTCTGGTGGAGAATATTTAGAACATGTTTCAAATCAAATACAAAATTGCTGATGCAGAAACCATGTTGGAGAGACTAAAGAGTCAGCAGAAACTGCCAAAAAATCTCAAAAACAGCACTTAATGTGTTTTTTAAACACCTGGGCAGACGCACATATACATGCAAACCCCAGCCACTGCCTCCCAATGCTGCTTCTTCATTAGCTAACTTTTAAGAAACTTAGGAGAGAAAGGGCAAAACTAATTACTTTGTGTTTTAAAACCAAGATCGTACGTTGGTCACTGCAGGCAGCAGGAAGCGTAAAAGGGCAGATAGCTGTTCTCAGGGTGGCCTCCGCTAATGTTCTCCCAGTTGCTTGTATTGGCAGTTGCTCTGCCACTACCAAGGGGATACAGTAGCTTTATCCCCTTACACCTCTGCTTCTTCCCTCCTCCCAAAAATAGATGCAATAGAAGGAAGAAATGAACCATTTCAAATACTCAGCTCATAAATCAGACAATACCTGGAAGCTGATTTGAAATCAGATTTAGTTAACACATCATGAGTGCCGTAAAGGCTGTCGCCAGGTAACAAAGTACCGTCCTTTGGGAGACCAAGGTATTGTCAGTGATTTCATTTTGTAAAACACAAAATCTGGGCTGACGCTCCCATACAGACTCATATATATATACACATATACACACACACACATGCACACACACACATACACATATACATATATACACACACACATATATACATATATATTAAAGAATATTAAATAACATGCCTTTACTTAATATTCTTACTCCTTACAAAAATGCAAAAGATTGAGTCCAAGATAATATCAGACTTTATAAAGACTTGTTGGATACCTAAATAATCAACATCAATGTTAACAAAAAAGCCTTGTATTGAATGCTTAGTATGCTTTGTAGAAAAATATAATTAGCACCCCTGCTTTTTGGAATATTATATGTCTATATAGAGAGATTATATGAACTATATGGGAAGAAAAATATACATGACACCAAAAAGAGTTGGCATCACATGTCTCAGGTATTGAAATTTTGAGATATATATGTGAAAATATTAGGAAGAAATGGAAGCATGCAGACACTAAAGAGATTATCATTGGAGAACTGTCTGTACTAATTTTGTATTACAAAAACCAATATATCATGTGGGAAAGAAAATAGAGAACGTTAATAGTTCTTTTTGACAATTGAGGAAGAGTAGCCAAAGTTGAAAACAGGATAATGAAGATGATGGCTTCTAATTATTAAAAATTTACTGTATGTATGTATAGCCCTCACAGCACTTACAATTGTTTCTTGAAAATAACTATGTCCTTAACTTTTTTCCTCCAAGTTTTCTGAGAGCTGACACTGTGTCTTACACAAAGTTATCTCCCAAGCATTTAGCATAGGTTCTAAATCAAAGTTAGGTATTAAAATGTTAAATGAATAAATATTCGCTCAAACATTTTTCTAAGTAATTATCACAGCAACCCACTGGTGTAGGAATTTTCTTTTTTTAATTAAGAGATGAGAAAATCAAAATGTAAAAGAGTGAAATTAACTTGACTGAGATCCAAGTTGTGATTGAAACCAAGGTTTCTCTGATCTCTGCTGTTCTTTCTATCCCAACAGGCCTGAGATAAAATGAAGAATTAGGATGAAAAAAACAAGCCCAAAACTGAAAACTCATGCAATGTAGTAAAAAGAAGGAGAAATGTGAGAAATGTAATATTTTCCCTGTAGTATTGGGAATAAGGTCAGAATGCTCCTATTCACCATTACCATTAACATCTTGATGTCCTAGCTAGTACAGTAACAAAACACTGTGAAAGAAAGGCTTACAAAATGAACAAAAAGAAAGAGAACTGTCCTTGTGTTTTGTCAGTGTATAAAATCCCAAAGAATTGAAAAACAAAATTCTTCTGGAACTGGTAAGTAATTATGGCAAGTTCATAGAATACAAAATTATTATGCAAATTAAATTTCATTCTTACATATTAGCAACGAGGAATTTAAATTTAAATTTAAAAACATAGCGCTATTTTCCCTTTTTTTTTTTTTTTTTTTTTTTTGAGACAGAGTTTCGCTCTTGTTACCCAGGCTGGAGTGCAATGGCGCGATCTCGGCTCACCGCAACCTCTGCCTCCTGGGTTCAGGCAATTCTCCTGCCTCAGCTTCCTGAGTAGCTGGGATTACAGGCACATGCCACCATGCCCAGCTAATGTTTTGTAGTTTTAGTAGAGACGGGGTTTCACCATGTTGACCAGGATGGTCTCGATCTCTTGACCTAGTGATCCACCCGCCTTGGCCTCCCAAAGTGCTAGGATTACAGGCGTGAGCCACCGCGCCCGGCCAGCGCTATTT